TACAGATGTGAACCAAGTTAGAGGACTTTATATCAGTTTCTACTTTTTATAAAGCTACCAAAATAGGAAAGTATAATACTGAAGTAAGGACATAACTCCATGGAACAAAGTCCAGACTCCAGAAACCAGCCCATATTACATATAATGAATTGGTTTTATACATGGATAGCAATATAAAAGAGGAAGGATAGCATTTTTAGTAAATGGTGTCTAGTGAGTATCAATCCTGATCTTGCACAACTAAGAAAAATTAACTTGGAAAAATAGACAATCAACCTAAATGTCTGAATTACATTTTTAAAATTCCTAGGAGAAAATGTAGGGGGGAAAAACCCCTTTTTGAGCCTGACTTACTCAAAGATCTCTTGTACAGCACACACACACACACACACACACACACACATAAATGGTTACACTAGATTTCAACAAAATCAAAACATCGACTTTTTAAGGGATAAGAAAATTAAGAGAGAATTTTGGGCGAAAATTCTGCAGTGCATAGAGTATATTCTGAATAAAGAATTCTTATAACTTAAGATAAATTGATAAACAAGGCCATGCAATTTTAAGATATTTTGCAAAAGAGTAATATTGCCAAAATGGAAAACGAGCACAAAATGATGCCCGCCATCCTCAATAATTAGAGAAATACAAATTAAAACTACCTATCAGAGTGACTAGCACGATAACAAAAATCGAGATTTGCAATGACTAATAGTGCTAGTAAAAATGTAAAATGGTAGGTCCACTCCGGAGACAAGTTCAAAAACCTCTTAGAAAGTTAAACATGTTTACATATGGCTCAGAAAGTCTGTTTTTAGTATTTGCCCCAGAGAAATTATGACATACATCTGCATGAAGGCTTGAATGCAAACGTTTGTAGTAGCTGCATCCACAATACACCAAAATTGAGAATAACATAGAAGGGTAGTAACTGTGGTGGGCAAATTGTATAATATTCATACAATGAAATTGTACTCAGTGATAAAAGGAAATGAATGGTCATACTACTAACCATATTACAACATAGTTGATAACATTGATTCATATTAAAAAGTTGAATGAAGCACTGGCATTTTTTTAAAATCACAAAATATTCTTCCCTTGTGAACTTCTATAGGTAATTCCAAAATCAATTTGGGAGATAAAATAGGTATGTGACACCAGACTGGTAAGTTATGACTCTGAACAAAGAAAGTTTCCTAACCAGCAAAATGAGTGCATTCGATTAGATGACTTCATTTGTTTATTCCATGAGCATTTATTAACGTCTATGAAGGGGCAACCATTATGCTAGGTTCTAGCATCACACAACTGAAAAGTAAATTATTTTTGTCCCTAAAGAGTCAGAGAAGCAGCATTTCCTGATGACACAATACCTGAATTTGATTTTGAGGTATTAGAGTTAGTAAAAGGGGAAGAGAAAGCATTCCAGGCAGAGTAAGCTATTTGGGTAAAAAGCCAATGGGGAAAGACAGACCCTGAAGTGGGAACCTGAGGCAGCTTAACAGATACAGAACATAGAATTCATCCTTGTAATACCATGGTTGTATTTTGACTGCAGGAACGTTTAAGCTTAGTTGAGAGGCACATAGAGAGGAATTTTGTACCAAATAATTATAGTCATACCCTTCTGGATAAGCTAAGAGGAAAAAAAACCTACCCTAAGCTAGGACCCTTTCTATTGCAGAGAACATCTATTGGCTCATGACACCAAAATGACCCAGAATAGGCTAACAGTGTGATTTGAGGAGCGATGTGGACAAAAGGCGGCCATTTAGCTTTCTACAATCCCAGGAGATAATAGCTCCAGAACCAAGATTCTTTTGTTCTCATATTCTGCCTCCCTGAAAACCTATAGTCTCATAATCATATTTTACTGGACTCTACCAATCTTAGATTTTGCGCTGATCACTGAAGGATGGTCTGTGGTGACTGCTCCACTAGGAGCAGTGATCCTAGGGCGGGAGATGACTTTACCTGAAGCACATGGAAGATTTTCAAATACAATTGGAGCCTTTGTGAATGAAAGAGATAAAATATACATGAGGATTTATATCTTTAAGATAAAAAGGAAAGTCCCAGTACTTTTTAAACCAGTTAGGGGACACAAAGATATATGGCAGGCAAATGTCTTCTTGCATATTGCATACCTAGGTTGAACCAGTAAAAACTGCCTTGAAAATGAAGTGATATAATCAATTACTCAGTGCAATAGGCACCATATAAGTGCATGGAGAGTTTTATGAGAGAAGAAGGCATAATTAATTCTCATTTAGGGGCCCTAGCATATTTTCCCAACAGAAGTTTTTGTTTGTTTGTTTTTTCAGAGTGGGCCTTTAAAAAATGTAGATCCTTCTGGTAGCTACAGATGAGTACTGTGGCCAGTGGGGGATTAGCATGTAATCTGGAAAGGCTGCAGTGTTAAGGAGCTCAGGGCCAAGTTGTCAACATTTCCTGTACTGTTACAAGAGCTGGACTGGAAACGATGTGGGTCATTGAATGTTTGAAGCCTAAAAAATGATACAGTCATATCTGATGAGAACTATTAGAATGGACTAAGCTAACCTCTTAAGACAAGAAGAAGGGGTAAAGTATGGCTGGGGTGTAGGAGAGATCAAACTGAGTCTGGAAGTAGAGGAGAAAGGAAAGGCAACCCTGAAGGCTTCATATTTTGCCTGCAGAAAAGGAGTCAGCACACACTGAGTGTGGGGGGACACTATGCGGTTAAGAGAAGCTCAAAATATCCCTTATGCAGAACACCACATTGCCCAAACACACTAAATGATTATCCAGAAACTCTTCCATAACACGAAGGTTTAACATATTGTATTAGTGGGCTGAAAATCAGAAAGGAAACACCATCAGCTATTCCACCAGCAGGGACAACGACTGTAACGGAGACCAATTAAGTGTGTATCTCAAGTCACTCAGATTCCTATGATCACTGCCAGAGCAGACATGAATTCAGGGCTGTCAGCAACTGGTAGAAAATGGTACAGGAGAATGCAAGTAGAAAAAAGCCAAGTGAAATAGTATGAGGAGATGGGGTTACAAATGCAGTGGGCAAGGCAGCTTGTCTATCCTCCCCTATAGTATTTTAAGAAGCAAAGAGCAGCATGTGGCCAATAGGGGTTTGTGAGAACAGTATATGTGGTTGCCTACCAGGTCTGCTTTGGGATTTAGATTCAGAACTAATGCTTAGGGCCACCTGTCGCAACCAGAAGGCCTGCTATGCCACAGTCCATCTCATTTATAGACAGTTGTGAATGATCAAGTAAAATGGTACAGATACTAACACAGCTGGGCCTTCCTACATTGTCTTCCATCATCTGACTTGAAATGTCATATGTAATTACTGAAAATATCTTATATGTACTTGGTGTTCTGGAATGAAAAAAAAAACACTTTGAAGAAATTTTCTCATTTGGTTTTATATACTCTGCTAAGTAATCAAAATGAATAAAGTGATTTCCAACTATATATATTTCTCCTACATACATACAAGGTAGTATATGATCTGAGGGCTTATCATCAGAACTAGAATTTCCCAGTCCAGACTCCTAGATGACTACATTGCCTCTTCTTGTTTTAAGTTCATAAATATTTTATAAAAGGAAGAAGCAAAGCTGGGCATATCTGTACACAGCTGACCTGACCCTGATCGTTTAGAACTCAGTCTCTTTCAAACGTTGTTGCTCTTTTCTTACTGAGGGTCAGGAGGGAAATGACGGTTACAGTTCCATTCTTGTCCCCTTGATGAATGTGTATCTGCACATACAGCATGGCAAAGCAAATGATTACAACTGTATCAGCTTCACAAGCAACAAAATGGGGACTGCTAAGGACCAATTGCAGGACAAATCATTATTGATCGCTTCGCCTGTCAATAGGTCCCTGATTAAATCATTTCAAATTTTCCCATTAACAAAGTAGTATATCAAACTCCACCTCTCCTGCAGGCTTGCGATAAACCTCATGCATTTCCTAGTACATACTGTTAAAGCAAAAGCGACATGAAATACACTTGGGTAAAACAATAAAATTTTACGCAATGAAGCATATCAATCTATTGATACATAGTTTTATTAAGGTAATCGACATTTTCAACTTCTAAAGATCAAAAGAGAATGGCTTTTGGGCCTCCCCACCCCTCCTGCAAACCATTATTTTATATTTTATAAATGGTATGTCTTTTAGGAAGTAATATACAATAAGGCTCTTGACTTATGATAAAAATCAAAAACAAGACTGATGCCTTTTGCAATGCTTTCCGTTTCTGGAGTCTCCGTTAACTTACTTCAAGTTTCTCTCAGCTGCTCTGCCTTGGAAATAAATCTACTTAAACCAAGCTTCAGCACAAGTGGACGTGCCCTTCCTTCCCTTGGGTGTTCAGTTGTAAACTTGCAACATGACAGGATCTGGCAGCAGGTCTCAGCAGCGTCAAATCTTCCAGGCAAAAGGAAGGTCGAGACGTGTGATGAGAGCAGCATATTATTCTTCTGACTTTCAGAGCATGAAGAAGAACACGTGAAATGGAGGAAATCATATTTGACCTTCCCCAATCGAGTTAAGGGAGAAACAAAATGGAAAGATGGGAAAGGATCTGAAAATCCATGATGAGTGAATAAAAAATAGTGAAGACCTCATCTATTCTCACTTAAAAGTATGTTCCCAAAGTGTTCTTATACCTTACTCCCCATCTCTGGTTCTTAGAGAACGGTGATTTATAAAACAAAACATTACATTATCTAGAATAAAACTTATAAGTAACATACAGCCATTGCCTACAAAGCTACATTACCTCTGGAAGTTTATTATAGTATCTTTAGTTCTTATTGCATATGTTGTTACATGCCTGTTACAAGCCAGAATTTTCTATCGTATGCTCAATTTAGCAGAAGTCACATCTATTGCTTTTCTCTTGAAAATCAGCACATGCAATGCAATATTTGGTGTGCAGAGTTATTTGTTTCAAAAAGTGAAAAACTACTTAGGTGTAAGTGAGGAGAGAACATGATCTTTATTGGCTTTTGCAAAATTTAATTTTGGTTTTATGCAGACTTTGCATAGTTCATGATTATCTTCTAATGAAAAAGCTAGTCAGTTGTCAGTGACCTTGAAGAAGATCAGGTGATGGTCGCAAACAAAAAAATCTGAAGAAGAGGCATAACTTTTAAAGTAGAAATGTCAGCAAGAACTGCCTGAAACAAGAAACAAAAGGGATTATTAATAGCAAAGTGAAATACAGGAACTATTGTTTGGAATCAACACATGCGCTAAAAATCTTCAGCCGTGTCTTGCATCTTTTTATCAGTTAGAACTCCCCTTCTCGCTGATAGTTTAGTGGTAGTACATGTGCAAAAGGCCACAACGTGCAGCAAAAAATAACCCGGACTTCAGCCTTGGGCCTTCTTCAAATACACAAGGTAGCATGAGTTTATAACAGGTCTAACATTTCAAGTTGCTTCTATAAATAAGCGTACATTATGAGTCCTAGTCTTGTTATTTTAGTGTAAGAAGCAACTGACTTCAGGAAATCATTCTCAAATGGAACTAATGTTTATTCAGTTGCAAGAGGCATAAACATCCTCTTCCCTTTAAACAAAGACCACAGGCAGCTATTTTAAGAATAAAATGGACATTTCAATGAGAGAGAACAAAACCAAAAAGAGTAATATGGTAAGCTCTATTTAATTGAACCATATTTCAGGTATATATTATGCCAATGAATAAATTGGCAATGAATAATTAGTTTACAGTTTAGAACAATCAAAGAGGCCGATGAGCCGCTAGTGCATCATCCAATAACATGCTATTTAGCTCCCACAACTAGCTTTTTTATTGTTGTTCTATAAGCACAATTCATGCATGTGACTTACCAGAAAATGTACATAAGCCCCAATAACTGCTATTAAAACTACCAGCTATTTAACTTCTTGTAATTGCATTTCTTTACCTTATTTATAAACCCTTCATAAAAAGGTTGTGTTTAAGTGATTAGTGAAATGTTAATGTAAATTTAATTACCTGCAAACCTACAGGTTCTACCCAAATTAAAACATTCCTCTGTGAGTAATAACATGCGTCCTATGCATCAGGCACTAAAGTGACAGTCTGGAAACCTCTCGGAAACTATTTTCATCTCCCTCTCAGGGAAACTTATGCTTACTTCAGCTGCAGCCAGTGATGTCACCTCCATCAGGTTCACTGCTCGGAAAGCAAACACAGCAGCTGCCAGGACTGGAAAAGAATGCACAGTATGTCAACTGCTGGCCTACTCATGGGCCCTGCACACAGTCACTACCAGAGCCTCAGAAAGAGTACTCTGCACGACGCCACCCCCACATTCCGAGTTACGGGCTGGGATCAGTGGAAGTTGGTATTCCAGAGAACAGTGCCTGGTGGATAAGCAAACTGAATCTAAAGGTTTTGAGAAAAAGAAAATTCAGTGGTTTAATCAAAATTATCTCTAGAAACGGTCCTTTCATAGCTAAAATGAAAATTTTGAGAGGTTTTCAGTGGCATGAAGATCTGCGGACTGTCTTGTAAATTAAGGTTCTCTTTGACACAAGTGTTTCTCACTAAAGAAATGGAGAGGCTTCTGAAAATTACAGAGACCACACTTTAAAATAGATATGCTTCATATGTACCAAGCTGTCCTGAAAGAAACATGGCAATAGGACCTCTTATAAAAATATACTTTATGCCATTCTGTTCTATTTATACTGTGATACTTCACAGTGACTCTAAGACAGGGTGCTACAAATGGATACACACTGGATAGGGCTGAGAAGGGACCAGTCTCAATGGTGGTAACAGGCAAAAGCTGAAACTTTGTCAAAAAGACTACCCTAGAATATTTTGAAGGTTAATAATACATATCCAGCAGGAACTAATGTTTGGATTATGGTTTCCACTCAACATATGAAAAAAATAATGCCAGAATGCAACATTTGGCTTAATAAGTAGACTGCCATAAACACTTCCATGTGAGGGAGTGAGTCAAAAAACAGAGGGACCTGAGTGAGAGGAGGTGTTCTTCAGAGGAGACGGCACTGTCTGGGATAACTCCTGACTCCCCCAATGCTCCCTTTGCGTCCATCACCAGTGATGATAACACATTCCCCACCTGACAAGTAGTTGAAATTGAGGAAACAAATAATTACAAATTATTCAGAATTACTTAGAAGAATGGCTCTCGATTTACTGCATAGCTAAGGCAAACATACAATTTTCATTGTAAGAATAATAATAGTAATAGTGCTAATGCTAAGACCTAGGTACTATTATTAGCACAATCTTACTAAAGCAGCAACTGTGGCACAGTGAGTCAGATGGCACATTCAAACAGGTGGCAAATAGCCAACCCCCAACTCCAGCTCTGGCAACTAGGCATCTAACCACCATGTGATGACTTCTTTGAAGGCGAAAAGCATTAGTGGCTCATCCCTGCCATCAATCTCTATGTGCCTTCTGAAGCAACAAGAGGCGAGCTGTCTGTCAGAATGGTTTTTCTGGGGCTGAGCTAAGGCATGCGGAATAGGTGACTGTGCCTGTGGAGCAGAAGTTAGGAGGCAGGGTTCTTCCCTTCTCTAGAGGAAGGCAGCTTGTAACCACCAAGTGAGAAGCACAAGGCACTTTTCTAAAGGACCAGAGAGTTTGGATGGTCTGGGGCAAAAGCAACAGAAACCGTTAAAGAAGAAAATTCTGGAGGAAAAAAGTAGATGGTAGGCAGTGTTTTAACAAAATCTACAAAGCCAATAATCTGGGTTTGTTCAGCTTATAATAAGGGCTATCAGCTGTCTGGGGCAAAGAATTTACTCTCTGGTCGACAAGAAGTAACTCAAGTATTTTTAAGCCATTGCACATTATGTTTAGAAGAGTATCAAGCAAACAATTCCTGTGGAGCAGCAATGCTTTTCAGCTTCCCAATATCTGGAACCATATTTTGTACAATGGAGACATTTTAGAACCTAAGGACTACAAACCCTATTTCCTTTTTTTGTGTACAACTGAAAGAGTTGCCAACAGTAGGATGGACAAATTTTATCTTGTAGCAGGAAAGAGTTTCAGGTAGCAGGAAGCTCATTTCCCAAAGGTAGAATGGGCAGTAGGGGAGAAGGAGCAGTGCACTAATTGACCTCAGCATCCAAAATACCCCGAAGGTCTGTGTGCTCATAGCCCTTATTTATCTTGGTGTCACATCACAGAAGTTCCTTTCTGATGCTTCATGTTTGGTTTGCCCAACCCTCCCACAGAATAGGTTTGTTCGCCCAAGAGAAAAGGTCTGTATTTTGGGTTATTTTCAACAGACTCACACATAAAATGTAAAAACTCTAATTATTTTTTGTCTTCTCACCTGTTCTCAACACTTTAAGCTGAAGCAGCACTATCATGAACATGAAGGTAATGAAGACACCTTTACTTTATATTATTCCTCAAAAGGCTCCAATTCACAGTGAAAGCTGGTGGTATTTATTCAGAAAGTTTTGACAATAATTCACTTGATCAAAAAAGCTGGTACCAAAATATTCATTACCACAATACATGAAATAATCAAATTTCATAGCTACACATCTTCATGGAATGACCACATGGCTTTTGTATGAATTTCATGGTAGGGAAGCTGCCTTTAATCTAGTTTCAGCTCTAGATGTTGTAGAATTCTTCCTGGTTGATTCTTAGGAAGCATCCAGGGAGTAGGTGCTCACAGCAGGGTGTATGTCACTTTTACCTATCTGTCAGTAACTCTGTCCCAAGTGGCAACATTCCAGCCTTACAGCACACATAGTATTCAACATGCACTCATTTCTGCTTTCTTTTAGCTTGGTAAGGGGTTAAAAGGCACAGAATGAGACAAGTCTGAGAGGTATTATAATTCAACATTTCTTTCAAGTATAAAGCCTCTTGCTTCTTCGGTTGACAGGAAGCCAATTTTTATTTTTTATTTCACTCTTTAATATGCTCTGTTGTCTTCTTCAAATGATACCCAATGGAATTTACACTACTCTGCAAAATTTCTGGAATTCCCAAGGGAGAGTTAATTAGATAGAAAGTCTAAACTCCTGTCACTTGAAAAACAGTAGCAGACAACAAAGCTACTTAACCTGAAAAACAGAGGATTTGGGGGAGAGGCAGCTTGGGAGGGTAGAAAAAGCTTGACACATTTTAACAATATTAACCAGAAATGAAATAAGCTTCATAGTAAGGTGAGGATTATTCAACGCTGAAGCATTCAAACACGGGCTTGAACACTTCTGGTCAGAAATGTTTCCAAAAGTTGCAGTGCTGGGTTTGGCACCAGCAATTAAGACACCACTTAGGAGGGCTGCAGCCCATATCAGAGTGCTTGAGTTCCATTCCTGGATTTGTCCTTGATTGTAGCTTCCTGTTCATTTGTACCTGGGAGTCAGCAGGTGATGGCTCAAAAGGCTGGCTCTCACTACCCACTCAGTTCCTGGCTCTCAGCTTTGCCCCGGCCCAGCCCTGGCCACTGGGGAAATTAAGGGACGTGAACCAGCAGATGGGAGCTCTGTGTCTCTGCCTCTCAAGGAAATAAAAATCAATAAAAGAGGGTGGAGTAGGTGTTTGAGATTGCCAGGAAATTGAAATAATAGCTATGGGTGTTTACAACAATATGTGGAGAGTAGAACATTTGGCAGTGTTTTCTTACTATAAACTGATAGGGTTATGAAATCACCTCTTTGAGGAAAATAAAATAAATAAAATAAATATAACCTCTTGGTGGAAATAATACCTAACTGAGGAAGACTACAGTTTGGGGATTCCCCAGATATCCTAGTAACGCATTCTCTCTCTTTTTTTTTAAGATTTATTTATTTTTTACTGGAGTGTCAGATACAGAGAGAGAAGGAGGGAAAGAGAGGAAGATCTTCCATCCAACGGTTCACTCCCCAAGCGGCCACAATGACCAGAGCTGAGCTGATTGAAAGCCAGGAGCCAGGAAGTGCAATGAGGGTGCAGGGTCCCAAGGCTTTGGGCTGTCCTCTACTGCCTTCCCAGGCCACAAGCAGGGAGCTGGGAGAGAAGCAGAGTATCCAGGACACAATCCAGCACTCATGTGGGATCCTGATGTATGAAAGGTGAGAACTTTTGCTGCCTGGCTACATTGCTGGGCCTGTAACATACTCTTGAAGTCTGAGATGTCTACAAAAATTAGGTGGCATTTCAAAAGGGAAAATTAAGTAATAAAGTCCTGTGAGGCCCAGTTATTTTGGGGGTAATCAAAGATGTCACTGACTGATGTTTTTAAAAACTCCTGGTATCTTTCTTCTCAATCTGAGTTTTAAAAATATTTAGCTCTTTACTTTTACTTGGAAGGCGGAGAGATGGAGTCTCATCTGCTGGTTTAGCTCACAAAAGCCCACAGCGGTTAGGGCTGAGCCAGGTGGAAGCCAAGAGTGTGGAACTCAATCCCAACTTCTTCCCCGGATGGGGAGGGACCACAGCACTTCAGCCATCACCTGCATATCAGCAGGAGACGAGGGTCAGAAACAGATCGAATGGGGACACAAGGCCAAACAGTCCCATAGGCGATGCACCTGTGCTTTGATAAATGTATCCATTTCTGTTGTGTATACGGGAAGCAAAATAATATAATTAATAAGAAATCGGTTCCCTTTGTCTTATCCTTCAGTTGCTTTTGGTGTGTATCTGTTGTATGAACTCTCTAATTATTAAATGACAGGTGACTGTGTGGCTTCCTGAAAAAGAGAGGATGTATTTTCTTCAGCCTGAGAAAATACTTCAGAGCAGAAACCACAGGGTCTTCTGCCCACCCAGCAGCCACTTGGCCTCATGTCTCAAACCTCTGATCTTAGCACACCAGAAATGGACCCCATTTGTTTCTGTGCCACTGGCGGCTCCTCTGCCTGTACTGGCAATGGCAAATTCAGAGTGCAAATGCACCTGCTGCAAGTGAGACTACGGTAACTGATGCCAGGAGAACTCTGCTCCTTGACGGGAACCATGGCTCACTGCTGCTTTTTCCATGAAATATGTGATGAAATGAAAAAGAGCGGGGAGGGGAGAAACACAACCCCAGGGCAGAAATCAGAAAGTTTAGCAAAAAGGAGAACGTTGTTAAAGAAAATTTTATTTATTTATTTATTTGGAAGGCAAAGAGACAGAGAAAGACAGGGGCAGAGACAAAGACGTTCTAGTTGCTGGTTCATTCTACCAATGGCTGCACCAGCTAAGGCTGAGCTGCACTAGGCCAGACTGAAGCCAGGAGCAGGAAATTCACTCCAGGTATCCCACAGGGGGGCAGAGATTCAAGGACTAGAGTAATCACCGGCCACCTTCCAGTGCACACCTGGACGCTGGAATGACGAGCGGAGCCATGCCTTGAATAAATTCACTCCAATTGCATCAACCACTACAGCTGCAATAGGCAAAGAACAAATGGCAACACATTGCGGAGAGCCTGGAGTTGGACAGAAATATAGCCACACTTTGCTGCAGATTTCCCAGGATGCTGGATACAGCAGCTGTGGCTGGAGAGAAGGGGCAGGGAAGAGTAAGAAGGGAAGATAACTTGAAGGGCGGGGATGGGAAGGGGAAACGGACTTCCCAGGGAACCAAGAAGAAAGCCTAGGGATGCCAGGTCGAGCTTAGGAAAAAGTGTCACATTGTGCAGCCTTAATGCTGATTTCCAAGTCCGACAAATCTATTAAACATTAACAAATTAAAAATGAGAACGCGTACTCCAGTTTCTGTTCATAAAGAAAAAAAAAAGTAACAACTGTCGAGTCAGAACACAGACCGTGATTTTAGGAAAGAGAAGGATCTTGCTTCGGAGAGGGCATGTATTTTACAAAGAAGTAATCGAGCCTTACCAGCAAGAATTTCCAAAGAGTTATATCCTAAGATTCTGTCCCACAAAAGCAAAAGTTGATCTGTAGCTAAATATCCAGAGAAGGCACGAGCCATCCATTTAAATGATATGCGAAGTCTGCAAGCAAAGAAAAATAAAAATTAATTACACCACTAGAATTTTTCCTATCAGAAAGGCAATATCAGAAGAATCCAACTACTGTGCTTTGAGAACCTTGGAAGCCACTAAGGCATTTAAAACTCACGCATTTCCCCCAACGCTACAAAAGCACAGCAGTGAGAAACTTTGAGTGCTTAAGATGGTCCAAAAGTATGAAGCAGAATTACATATGATCACTGCTGAGTTTTGCTCTTTATAAAATTCCTTTCTGTATCACGCTTAAGATGTATTGGTTTGTTTGAAAGGCAAAGTGATCAATAAGTAGGTAGGTAGGTAGGTAGGTAGATAGATAGATAGATAGATAGATAGATAGATAGATAGATAGAATCTCCCATCTGCTGGTTCACTTCCCAAGGGGTTACAAAGGTTGGGGTTGAGCCAGGCTAAAGCCAAGAGGCTGGGCCTCCATCCGGGCCTCCTGAGCAAGTGGCAGGGCCTGAGCACCCCAGGTACATTTAACAGGGAGCTGAATCAGAAGCAGAGCCTCTGGACACGAATGTGAGCTCTGATCCCAGGATGCCACTGTCAGAAGCAGTGCCTCTATCAGCTGCACCACAGCGCTCTCATCTCCACTGGGTCTTTTGGAACATACAATGATTAGTCAGCAATGAGCTCATCTTCTAATATTTGTAACAATTTCAGGTAAGGCACGATAACCTGTAATTTGAATTTTAATCACTTCTATAATTTCATATTTCCAATTCTTACATTCCTATATGTCAGAAAAACTGTTAAGTAGAATGAATAAAATAAAATAGTAAAATGAACAAAGACAAATCATTTTAAGCTATTAGATACATTAGGGTTGGGCATCTGACCTAAAATCAATTAATCATTTTAATAAGGAAGATATCAGAACTATGAATGATCAACCAAAAAATTAAGTTTAATTCCATTTTGCTAAAAACAAAAGTTTCTAAGATATATGAGATTCCACTACTAATAATTTGCTTATATTCTAATAGCAGTTTTTAAAAAGATTTATTTTTATTGGAAAGGCAGATATATATGGAAAGGAGGAGAGACAGAGAGGAAGATCTTCTATCCACTGGTTCATTCCCCAAGTGGCCACAATGGCTGGAGCTGAGCCGATCCGAAGCCAGGAGCCAGGAACTTCCTCCAGGTCTCCCACATGCGTGCAGTGTCTCAAGGCTTTGGGCCATCCGTGACTGCTTTCCCAGGCCACAAGCTGGGAACTGGATGGGCAGTGGAGCAGCCGGGACATGAGCCAGTACCTCTTTGGGATCCTGGCACATGGAAGGCAAGGATTTATCCACTGGGCCATGGCACCTAGCACTCTTATTACAGTTTATCTCTAAAAATCAGGAAATGAGATTTGGGGTTCTGGTATCTTGACAACTAGCTTTCCACATGCCTGTGTTGTCTATAAGCATCTACAAATGACATGACTGACTTTGGGAGGTGCTAGCCAAATTCTGTGATGGAAATATTATAACTTTATGTCAATAGATGCCATTGCTATTCTGTTAAAAGAGAAAAAGGGATTCAAAAATTGTCTTTAGTGTCATTGTACCAATTTTCTAAAGACTGAAAAAGATTCCTGAGTTTCAGAAATTTCTCAGTATTTGATAATGATTGTTCTAATCTAAAAGTGTACATTTAAGCCATAGTGCCGATACAAGAAAGAGAGAGAGGGAGAGAGAGAGAGAGAGTGAGTGCAATTTTCTGTTACCTGATTTACTCCCCAAATGATAGCAACAGCCAGGGCTGAGACAGACTTTAGCCAGGAGCCAGAAACTCCATCCTAATATCCCAGATAGGTGGCAAGGGCACAAGTGCTTGGTCCTTTTTCCACTACTTTCCCAGATGTGTTAGCTGAGGGCTGGAATTAGAGGCACAGAAGCCAGCATGCAAACCAATGCTTTGATATGCTGATACGAGATACATACATTCAAACTGTGCCTTAACCCAGCATACCTCAGTATCTGCTCTGGAAGGTTTTTCATCTGATTTTTTTAAGATGTAAAATTAGCTTTAATGCTTCTTGAGTTTGCTTTGGTAACCTGTACATATCTAAATTTGACATAAAGTTATTTATAATAATTCTTAAGTTATTTATTTATTTACATATTTATTAAATACATAAAGTTATTTATAATAACTCTTACTGCTGAGATTAGTATTTGTTTTTAAAGATTTATTTTTATTATTTTTTCATTGGAAAGGCGGATATACAGAGAGGAGAGACAGAGAGGAAGATCTTCCGTCCGATGATTCACTCCCCAAGTGAGCGCAACGGGCCGATGCTATGCCGATCCGAAGCCAGGAGCCTCTTCCGGGTCTCCCACGCGGGTGCAGGTTCCCAAAGCTTTGGGCTGTCCTCGACTGCTTTCCCAGGCCACAAGCAGGGAGCTGGAAGGGAAGCGGGGCTGCCGGGATTAGAACCGGCGCCCATATGGGATCCCGGGCGGGCAAGGCGAGGACCTTTAACCACTTGCGCCACCGCGCCGGGCCCGAGATTAGTATTTGTATTATCACTCTTTTTCTCCCTATTTCTGGCCAGAGACTTACCAATTTCCTTCGTCTATAGAAAGAACTGTTTTCAGTTCTATTGATTTTTTTTCTATTTTACAAAAGGCTTTACAAATGATATTTACGTTAAAATCAGAATTTCTATACTTCCTCCTAAAGAAGAATTTGAATGCTTACTGTCATTGAAATACATTTATTCTTTAGTGATTAAAATGTATAAAAAGGCTAGAAAAATTAAGAATTCCAGATTCCAGCAAAAAATCGAATTTCTTCATCCTTTATATTTTAAAGCTCATTTCACAATAACAAGTAAGTGAATTTACAACAAGCTTATGAAAAGTTCTTGTGTTCATTATAAATATATATGTCACATTCTTATTTTCCAATGTTAATTATTAATAGAATTCTGGCATTTAGTGGCCCCAAAGGAAGGAGTATCAGTTCAGCTTTTTTGATGGACGACATGAAATATTCTTTCTAAGTGGCATTTCTGAGAGGTCTGACATTCCACGGTGCTTTACAGAGAGGAGGTACCTGTCTTCCTATCTTTAGCTCTATAATCATGCCATCTCGAAATCAGTTCATGAGGTAGGAAATCTGACTTTTAAAATGAAGAAAAGGAATCATCTTGATTTAAAGATAAAGAAATTGAGACGTAGATGCATTATATAACTTTGCCAAGATTATACAGCATAACTGGAAGGAAATTTGAATCTAGGTTAAATTTCCACCCACTCCACCACCCATCTGCTGTGGATTCCATTCTGGTAAGAGATATACTACATTATTATATTTCCCATGAACACCCTCAGTAGCTTCAGAGTTCATGCTTTTTTTCAAAAAGGCCTTCCTTCAGAGAGTAAACCAGTTGCTCCAAAAAGATAGGAATACAATGCTGATAAAACATTTAGAGATTTCTGTTGCTTTAGATTTTTTTTTTATTAAAGAGAGAACCAGCAATCCAGAAGTCAAGAACTGCTCCAAGTATTCATCTATAGCTCACTCTGAGATCAAGTAACAAAATTCAAACTTTTAGAAGGAGAAATCGCAGAATACAGAATGGGTAGACAGCCAATCTGGTTTCCTTTGACAAGAGATAGTCAACTTTAACCTATGTAGCTTTCATAGGCTGTTCTCTGGTAAATTCAACCTACAAAGTATTATCACATTTCTCTGGAAGTATTTATTTCCCTTAAATTTGGACAAAACATTTCATTATGAATAGTGATTAAATAGCTTTGGTGATGCTTGTGCTAGCCATGAAATCACAGTATATAAGACTTTATTATGCTTTTAGTATGCCCTTACACTTACTTATTCATAATTATCATTTTATTGATGTAATAGCATAATTTCTCCAAAGCAATACTGAATCTTTGTAAGTGCTCTAAATGCTGAGAAAAGAGCTTTCTCACAGGAAATTATCCTGCAATAAAGGGAGAAAAATACTCACGGTTGAGCCCCGATTTCTCGTAAGTGATAGAAGAGCTGAGGGAGGTAAGTTTGAAGAAGACTTTCAAACAGCAAACAGAGCGACACAATACCCTGGGACAACAGTAAATCAGAAGAGAAATAGAAATGAATCAAATAGAATATGAGAGATGGCATCTACATAAACACCCTTTACATAAACAGCTGGTAAGAGATGCATGAGTGAAACACATAGACTGTATTAAAAGATGACCTTTCTCCCCCTGTGAACTGCCACACTCAAGACACTTCCGTAACACAGTATGCACCCAGCCCCCTCCCCCCACATGCAATACTTGGAGAGTCTGAGTGAAATATCACTTTGCAGATTGTCTGTCACTTTGCAAACTGTATATTTGTGGATATCACTTGGGCCTGAGCCATCGGACTATTTTCCGGTTGTATCCCAGCGTCTAGGTATTGCCCTGGTGCTACAGCTGTCCTCCTTACTCTTTCCCTCCATTTATCTTTTCTCCTTCAGCCTCACCCACTGGGGAAATATTTGTTTTTCTCAAACTTTCTTTGAAGTCCTCCCCAGGAAAAGATGGCTGACGGCATGACATGTGCATCGGGAAGGGGCAGCAAGGCTTTTTTTCTTCTTCTTTGTTTAATTGAAATCTATTTGTTTAAAAGGATGTTATTTGTAAAGTACAAGAAGCAACGGGTTTAAGCAGATGGTTTCTCCAGCGCATTGTTATTTGACTACTCTGAATGAAATCCCTCTTGCAGCTCAGCAATCCTGGGTGGGGTTGGGGGTTGATCTTCTTAAATTTTAATCCACTTATTGAGTTGTTGAAGAAAAAACACTGCCATGATTTCAGACAGTTCAGCATGGCTGCAAGCCACAAGAGGAGATGACCACTTACAGATCTTGATTCAATTGTGCAAGGAAAGTGCGGAGGAGTTCTGGGCCAATGAATTATCTGAAAAGGACACCTCAGGGCCGGCTTGGAGACAGAGAAGAACTATCCAGAACTGCCTCGTGCCAGCTTCTAGCTCACTGTGTCAGGAGAACACCTGGTGTGCTCTTCTTTTTCTTTCTTCTTTTTTTTTTTTTTTTTTAAGATTTATTTGCTTTTATTGGAAAGGCAGATATACAGAGAGGAGGCAAGTCAATGAGGAAGATTTTCTGTCTGCTGACTCACTCCCCAAGTGGCTGCAATGGCTGGGGCTGAGATGATCTGAACCCAGGAGCCTGGAGCCTCTTCTGGGTCTCCCATGTGGGTACCAGGTCTCAAGCCTTCAGGCCATCCTCAACTGTTTTCCCAGGCTACAAGCTGTGAGCTGGATGGAAAGCAGGGCTGCCGGGACTAGAACTGGCGCCCATATGGGATCTCGGTGAATGTAAGGAAAGGACTTTTTAGTTACTAGGCTACTGAGCCGGGCACCGCACCTGGTGTGCTCTTAAAAATGTTGATATATAAAATGGCACAGCATGTTAAATTCAAAAGTCTGAAATCTGTTCCCAAGGATAAGATAGTAGAATGCAGAAGGATTAATATTATTGCTAATATTTCAGATAATTTTAGGTTAAATATTAATGTAAGAATTCTTGGAGAGAGAAGAAACTCAAAATAATTCCTGGTGCTTTATTTAATCTGTAACATTCTGGAAATGTTAGTTCCAGCTTTCGCTAGCAACTAACTAGAACTGAAGACTAGGGTAAGTGCGATAGGATGCATAGGATTACACTGGGGTGGGGGAATAAAGAACAGTTATTAAATTTAGTAGCAGTAGTATGGTCTTCTCTTTTGAAAAATCTAGTAGCCATGACATCCATTTCCACTGAACAGGCCTCCTAGAGAAGTAGTCAGCTTAACCAGAAGCGGACCAGAGCATGTTCACAGTAAAACTGAAAGAAACTCTGCCTTTACTCAGGCTTGTGGAAAAATGAAAAAGCAAAAGATATGATAAGGGAACAGTCAAAATAAAACAAATACAATGTTCAACCTGTTTTCCTTGATTCTTATATTGAAGAACTTTGCATTGAATAACTGCAAAAGGCACTGATAATTAGCCAAACAAAAAACTGAAAAACAACTAATGAATAGATGCTTGGTTGTCACTAACAGAGACTTTGATGATCACAAGTATAGCATCCATAACATCAATAACAAGGCCCTTCTTCTTTTTGCAACAGTCATCTCCTTTCTGAGCACCTGCTAAGAATCAATCAGTAACATTCAGCTCTTTAGAAAATATAAATCTCATTTCATGAAGGGGGACGTCAGTCAAGAAGGCAGGCATCTTCATCGGGGACAATAACCCATACTATCTATTTTTTTCTCTTAAACATATGAAATAATTTATAGCTAGTTGATAAGAGACTTTTTCTCCTTAATAATAGAATATTTAAGCATTTTCTTTTCCATTATCATTTAAAACATGCTGCCTGGCATGACAAATTAAATTTTATTCTCTGTAACCTAATTGGTAGGCGACTTTTTCTGAAGGGAAAGAAAGAGCGGAATAGAGTTGGATTTGATTCAATTTTCCTTGAACTTACAGAAGGATGAGAAGAGATGGAATGGAGCCTGAAGAAAAAGCGCACATACATCTCCCGGAAAATCTGATACAATTTGTAAGGCTCGTGGTACAGAAAACAAAGTGGTGCGACTGCAAGAGAAAAAGGGATACTAGTGTAACATTGCTAAATTTAAAGTTTGTGAAATATCAAAAATAAATTAGTTTATTGTGATCATAGACATTCATAGATAAGTTTAGAATTATAGATAATTTTTTAATTTGGAAAAGAATATCTACATATAAAAAGTTCAAACAGCCACTAAATATCATAAAGAGAGGGGCAAATTATACACTGTATAGGAGTGTTTTTTTAGAGAATAAAATTGTAATGGTATCAAAAACAGAACTTTTTTAGGGGGGCCAATTTAGTACTTGCTGGAATAGAGATGCAAAAATGTTACTCAGTAACTGACCTAGCTTCTAAATCAAGTCAGAATGACACATAATCTGTGTATTACTGGGTATGTACAAGTATATCTCATGGTAACATGCAGAGATGTGGAAGAGCAAATAATATAAAACCTAAATCAGCATTCTCTACTGAGGAAACACTGAAGACAAAACACCTCTCCAGGAACCTGGAACATCTATTTTGACAAAGGGGTTTTAGATGTTGCTCTTTCTAATAATTCAAATAAACTCCACGTGTTTAAGTTTGACTTTTCTCAGCATGAACAAAGGAGGCATTCTAGACTAGAAATGATATAAAGGAAAAATATAAGGATGCTGAAAGTTCAAAGTAATTTTAGAAAACTACGTAAAATCAAGTCTCTTTTTAAACTGAAGCATTAAGAAAGTGGCAGACAATTCAGTTTTACTTGGCCCACAAAGGACTTGGTCACTTTTTGAATTTTTAATTTGGGGATTCAGGTATTTACATTATAAGATGATTTGTGATTAGCTTTTGGAATTGTAGTCTTCCATAAAGTCAATATTTTAAAAAGGTCAAGAATCAGTATTGCATTATGGGTATATTCTGGCCTATCTCCATATGAACCAAGACAGTTTTCATCAACCTAAAATAAAACAACCTTCAGGAAGATACTTTTTTTTTTAAAGATTTATCTATTTTCAGAGAATCAAGATGGCGGAATAGGGTAAAGACACATTTAAACAAATGGAGAAATATTAGCCAGTATGAAGCAAAGAGGGCACATTCCAGAAAACAAGAGAGGACAGAATGACAGCAGAGGAGGACCTGGAGACTGAAGGACACAGGAAAGCAGCAGACACAATGGTGTGGTGTTGCAGTGACCAATATCCTAGTGGCATTCATTAAACAGCGATCTGAATTGCACCTGCAGCCAGAGCTACACCTGCAACCAGGTGGGAAGGGGCATTCACTCGGAGCTCAGGAGGTGAAAAGGAGCTGCTCATCCTGCTGGTCTGTTTGCATTGACCAGGAGCAGAGACAGAGCAGCAGATCCCAGACAGATGGTGCGGGAACAGCATGGATTTCACAGCTCAGTCCACCCCCTTGAGTTATATTGGGTACCATTTTGTTTAAGGAGGCAAGGGCTATGGACAGTACTGTGCATACAGTGAGCTGGGAGTGAACTCATTTCTGGTTCAGCAAACTCCAACAATGTGGCATCCTATAGATTCCACCCAAGACAGGTCCAGGTAGTCCTCAGACTTGATGGCCAGCAGATCAAGAACTCTAGTAGTGGCCTATCAGGTACCATTACATGTAGTGTGGCAAAGAATTTAAGACTGCAGGGACAAAAGTAACCTGGGCATGAGCTGAACTTGGCAAAACCTAAGAGCTCAGTGCATTGCACTGGTCCTGCAGGGAAAAACTACCAAATATGGCATCATACAGGTCAAAATACATCTGTGTGGCCCTCAGATCTAATGGTCAACAGGTTCCAACAAGATCAGTACCAACAACAACTTAACTGTATGGGACACTTGGTGTCTCCCTAATCCTGGAATCTGCTCCAACCAGAAGTGGGAGAAAGGTTGCACAGACAACGGTGCAGCCTCAGCATGGTATCACAGGAGGTGCAGAGTGGTGAGCCAGGAGCTGGGGCTATGGAGTTCTTTGTGGAAATCTAACATAAGAACCCAGACCTGGAACTTGCTGGAGGGAGTGGTACAAACGACTGCAAACAAAGAGCCATGTACCAACTGCAATAAGTAAAATTGAACTGTACACCTGTGGGTAACAGAGCTTAGAAATCTGCCCCAAATAAAAAATAACTTCGATAACCAGAAGTACAATGACCAAGGACAAAAGAAGAGACAGAGGCACAATAAATATCACTGAAGATTCCCCTGCAAAGGAGCAAAATCCTTTGCCAACCTCAGAGGAAGACATCGAGAAAATGGGGGATACAGAATTCAAAACCCTTGTTATAAAACTTCTTATCAACAACAAGAAGCACATAAAGCAGGCATTCAAGGAATTTAAGGAATATGTTACACAGGAAATGAATCAAATGAAAGATGATACATCAGAAATGGAGAACACAGTGGAGTAAATTACAAGTACAGTGGAGAGTTTCCAAAATAGAATGAAACAGGCAGAAGAAAGACTCTCAAAATTAGAAGATATTTCCTGTCGCCGGGGAGAAACAGACAAAAAGCTAGAAGCAGAGCCGGACCAGGCCAAAAAAAGTATTCAAGAATTGAAAGACACTACTAAAAGGCCAAATATAAGAGTTATGGGAGTCCCAGAAGGTGCAGAAGGAGAAGCTGGGTTTACAAATGTATTCAATGAAATAGTAAGGGAAAATTTCCCTGATCTGGAGAAAGAATTGGGAAACAAGATCCAGGAGGGGCACAGAACTCCCACCAGGCTTGACCAAAAGTGATCTTCACCACGACACATGATCATCAAGCTCTCTTCAATCGAACATAAGGAAAAGATCCTTAAATGTGAACGTGAAAAAAAACAACTGACATATAAAGGCATGCCAATTAAACTCACAGGGGACCTCTCACAGGAAACTCTACAGGCAGAGAATGGAGTGACATATTCCAGATTCCAAAAGCAAAAAATTGTTGGCCTAGGATAATGTACCCAGCAAAACTTTTCTTTCGTCTTTGACAATGAAATAAAATTCTTCCACAGTCCAGAGAAGTTAATATGCCTCTTCTAAACCTGCCCTACAAATGATACTTAAAGATATTTTCTTGTCACAGAAAAGGAATAATGCCTAACAAAACCAAAGGCAAATGTGAAGAACGTCCTAGTAAAATAAAAACAGAAAACTAAATCAATTAACAACCCATTACTAAAATGACAGGACCAAATTACCACCCATTTATATTATTCCTGAATGTAAACGGCTTAAACACATCAATCAAATGTCATAAATTAGTAGACTGGATTAAAAAACAAAACTCATCTATTTGTTGCCTACAGGAGACATATCTCACCAACAACGATCAGTGAAAACTGTATCTCATCTATTTTGATTTTTTCTGTTAGTTTGATCTCTTCAAAACACTTTCTTCTGATTAAATTCCTCAGTGACTCATAGATCATACAATAGCATCATTTTCAAGAAGGTTCTTGATTTTCTTTTTCATTTCTTCAGCAACACATTAGTCACTCAGTAGTATGCTACTAACTTCATGGTGTTGTTAATTTCTTTTTTCTTCCTGTTGTTGATTTTGTTTTGTGGCTTTTCATTTAAGGGGATGCATAGTAACTGTGTAATGGAGACTATCATATCCAGTAGCATGTTATTTAACTTCATAGCACTGTAAATTTCTATTTTTCTTCCTCTGTTGATTTTGTATTGTGGCTTTTCATTTAGGGGTGTGTGCAATAGCTGTTTAATGGAGACTATCATGTCCAGATGTGAGGATACAATGCAGTATGCATCTCTATTTGCAGACTAAAAATGGATTCCCAGTGAAACTGTTAAGCATATCTTGACAACAGGATGCTGGACACTCTGCCATTGTCAATGTCTGCAATGATGGACATATGACTGTGTATGAAGAAGAACTATACTATAGTAATGATACAGGGGAACTCAGTGAGTAGGGGGGAAATGGGGAGGGGATAAGGGCATTCCAGGGCCTATGGAACTGTATCATAAAATGATAATAATAAAAAGAAGTAAAATTAAAAAAAAAGATTTATCTATTTTCATTGAAAAGGCAGATGAGCAAAGAAAAGGAGAAACAGAGAGAAAAATCTTTCATCTGCTGGTTCACTCCTGAAATGCCTGGCAGCCAGAGTTGAGCTGAAGTGAAGCCAGGAGCTAGGAGTTTCCTCTAGGTCTCCCATGCATGGTGCAGGATCTCAAGGCTTTGAGCCATCTTCTGCTGCTTTCCCAGGCCATAAGTAGGGAACTAGATGGAAAGTGGAACAGCCAGGATATGAACCAGTGCAGATATAAGATGCCATGCCTGGAGATGGAGGATTAGTCAGTTGAGCCATTGTGCTGGCTCCCAGGCAGATAATTCTGGTGGATGTCAAACTAAATCAGCTCCTGCTATTAGGCAATACAAAGAAATGAAAGGAATTCAAACTGGAAACGAGGAATTAAAGTTCTCCCTGTTTGCAAATGACATGATTCTCTACATAGGAGAACCATAAGGCTCAACTGAGAGACTATTGGAACTCTTAAGAGAATTTGGCAGGGTAGCTGGATACAAAATTAATGAACATAAATCAATGGCACCAGTATACACAAGTAACTCCATGAGTGAGAAGCAACTTGTACACTAGCTCTGAAAGTTTTATGTCATTTACCATAACTATCTGATGTTGAACACTGAGCTGTTTCTTACAAAGAAAAGGTTAATTTAATTGCTGATGCAAAACACCAACATGCTTCTGTTTATTCTTAAAGGTAGGGGGAAAAATGGGAATGCCATCCTTTAACAAATTTATACATAACACACAAAAATTTTAAAATTTAAAAATTAAGTCATGTTAGGGTGCATAGCATTCTTCCAGTCTCCAATCTTTATTGTGCTTTTCTTGCATTGCTCATTAAGGGGTGAGCCCCAGAAGGCATGCAGAGCTCCCAAGCTTACACAGGCCTTTTCCTCCTCAGGATAACGGATCCTGCATGCTTTTGTTGCTACGCATCCCGCAATCACTGAGAAATCACGAGCTTCATCTTAACCCTTCACCTTCTGTCTGACTTGCTGCTTTTTTAAAGAGACTCAGAATTCATTCAGCAGGCCAAACAATTTGATTTCTCACTAATTGGAGTTAAATATTAAGGTAGAACTCCATTCCATTGGCTTGTAATAGGATAAGCCACAGTAACTTTCACAATATGTTCTAATTTATCAAACCATAATCACTTGAACAATTATGCTAACAATTACCCTAATTTTTTAAATTAAAAAAATTGGACATAAGCGAAAATAGTAAACACAATGCCCTAAAATATTAATAAAAATCTGTTAAGTATGTGATTGAAGTAACACAAAGTGTGATTTTTATATTTAATTTTCCAAATTACAAGAAAACAATGAACTTACCATACATTGAAAATCCATGAAAAGGGATGACACCTAAAAGATAAAAGTAATATTTCCCTTGAATATTAGGTAAACGTTAAAAGATTAGAACTGATAATAGAAGAAAGATTTCCCACTTTTTCCATGAATTTTGTTCACGACTGCCAGAAAACTTAGTGATGGCAATAATAAAAGGTGTTTTTAATACCTTAGAAAAGCTAATTACAAATGTCCACATATCTACCCAGTTAACTTTTTTATTAATAATGCTAGAAAAAATACAACTTTGTATATAGAAAAACAAGGTTACAACTTTGTTATGTACCTTCGAATCCAATCTGCTCAAAGGCATTTCTTGAAAATACCAGGAAACTCTACTAAGACACCATAGGAGGTGGTTTAAGAGAACTACTGATCGGAATTTGGAATGAGTTCATATAATCTTTGGCAAGAATTAACGCCGATAAGTACAGATAATTTTCAACTAAATTCTCAAAGCCTAACTTGGTATGTCAAACATCTTCATATTTGAAGGAAAAAAAATCAGAATTTGTGCAGCTTAACTTTCAAACAGAAGTTCTGTAATGTATAACATTGTATATTTAACACTACACTAAATCAAGTTGCAAAAGCACTACAGAAGAAAGTTGAGATGTTCACTTAAAAAAAAAAGCAGCACAGAAATGTTTTATCTAATTGACGTGTTCAGAGGCATGCTCAGTGTGGTGGGCCACCGAGAATCAGTTCTGGTAAGTAACAGTTCAGTCTCAGTTTAAGATATGCCCAGCGACAGAGTCCATGTCAATTCACCATGCAACCCATCACAATTTTGAGTTTTGATTCAAGTTCTTTCTTACACTAAATTGTAATTGGTACTTACTATCCCTGATGCTAACTGCAAAAGTCACACAAAACAAATTTCTTTGTACCATCTATAGTACACAAAACTCCCAGAAAACATTTGCTCTCTCCCTCAGCCCATTGCCATCATGTTTTTTGCTCTGATGCCTGTTGGATTTCGTTCATCATTCTTCAGATGAAGTAGTCTCAAGCAGCTTCCTGATTGTATTTCCTCTGGTTAAGCTGCAGCTCACTGCAGTCCTTAAAATGAGGTGACTAAAACCTGTAAACATTTGTTTCCTCCCAACATATCCCTTAGCTAAGATGGCACTGGAGGGTTATATTCTTTCAGTCACGTTCCTTATTTGGTGAGCCATTCCCATTGGAGATAGCCCTACATTCTCATTCTTTTATCTGAGATACTCCTTTTGGTTTCATTTTATTAGAAAATTTGGTAAGTACCCTATGTATGTCTTCACCTAAAGCAGTATAAAAATGCTAAAGGAGTGAGTTGTGAGGCAGCATGCACTGCCTATGGGCTTTCACACTGATATCAATTCATTATTTGGCATCTCTTCTGTTAAATGAAGTGGGAACTGGTAGGGTCCATCTGAACCTGTCACTTGGAGAGCTCTGGGGGCCTTTTTGGTCAATTTCCAAAGTTCTCCACCTTCAATTCCCTCCTCTGTAAATCCAAGATACTGGCACAAACCACATATGATGAAATGAGCCAATGGCTGTAGGTTGGTCATTAACAAATACATAGACGAGACATGTAAAAATGTTAATACTAAAATTCAAAAAAAACAGTCTTTTCTTTAGTGTCTCTAAGAACAGTTTTAGAAAAGTTAAAAAAAAAGACATATCTAACCACCTCATTCTTTCAAAACTTTCCTATTGTTAGAGTATGTAACATCCAATTGTAGCCCTCACTTTCACCTCACTGACAGAAACTCTCACTTATCTGTTCTTTATAAATGCTGTTTTCTCTTTGTCACAGCTGTTGCCAACCTGTGCATAGGTCTAGGCTATGTGTAGTGAGCAAGCATCGGATTTTACATTTTTTGACGATTATTTACACAAACAATAAAGAATACTATGGGATAGAGGCTGTGGTTAAGAAAAAAAAATTGACCATCTGGTGGGGTTGTTAAAGCCCTACTAGGAATTCTGTCCCATCAATTTCCCCTCCTTTCCTCTCCAGTTACCTGAAACTTCTTCTGATCTCTCTTTCTGTAAGGAAGCTGTCACTTCTGTAGTCATGTAAGAGGGAACCTTTTGCACCATCTTCAGTTCTCTCGTTTCTTCTTAGCCTTTATACCGCCATGTGATTATGTCCCTTTCTGGTGGCCATTGAGCTATGGGGACCTAACTGTTCCACATAACCTCAGCATCCCCACATGCGCAACTCTACTCCTGCCAAAGTGATTTCTACCCTATAACCTGTGGGCAGGGGACAAGAGCTGTAAGGCAATTCTCCCCTTCACCTCTGGTCCTATCCCTGCCTCACTCCCTCAGGATTTCCTCTTAGAAATATCTCCCTGATCATTCCCAATATCTAATAATCAAGCAATTCATGAATCAGTGGCCTTGTATGAGTTCACATGCTCTCAGTCCTTCTCTGGGCATGACACCTTGCCATTTGGCCTTCATCGCTTTCTCTTAGTAGACTAAGTAACCAGTTACTTAGCAAGGAGGTCCAGAGGCCTGTGCTGAGGGCACTGCATTGTGCTCTTGCACTGGCTTAACCCTTCATCAGAGCTCAAGCTTCTTCTTTCAAGCCACGCCTCTGATATTCAAGACTCTGAAATTCCCAGCCCAAAGTCCTCTAAGCCAGCTTTTTCAGGCCTGCATGGTCTCTTTATGAGTATATATCCCAGCAGAGAGAAGAAGCCAAAGGATAGCTAGATGTGGAAAGTATGACAGAGGCTGGAGGGAAGAAGGGAGTGTTGTGTGAAGGGTGCAAGGTGGGCAGGACCCAGGATGAAAGGAATTGGGGACAGCACAAGGAGGGACTGATGAAAAGTCTGAGAATTTCAAATTTGAACCTGGCCTTTCAGACTCTTAAGATGACCTATGCATCAAAGCAAGAAAACGGCAAGTTTTAGCAGTTTATTAGACTCATTCAAAAAATAAATACTTAGATTTATAGTAAGTCAGTCCTCATTTTTACTCTTGCCTTCGACCCTATGAAAGTTAGGAAGAGAGCTGCCTTTATTTACAACATGGAGACAAAACCAATGAAGTGTTGAGGATTATATCTGACATTTGATATAATGGGCATAATATTTGATACCAGTTTCAGTACTTAACAAATGTTATTTCCCTTCCTTGATCTTATCATCATATAATTTTTTTTTTATTACTCTGTCTCTCCCAACAGAATAACTCCTTTGAGTAAAGGAACAGTTTCTTAATTATCTCCACCCCAAGGCAGGCACAATGCCTAGGGAATTAGATACTCATTAAATGGTTGCAAAATGAATATATGATGCCCTAGAGAATCTGCCTCTACTGCTTTTTTTTTAACCATTTTTCTCCTTCCTTATTGTCAGAGCCCAAGTTCAGGGTCTGAAGAACACTTACTATCATTCTACACAGTTTCTAGTTGGTATATCCCTTTTCTCTAAACTTTCAGCTTCCCAACCAACTTTCACAATGGCTCAAGTAATCTTCAGAAAATATTAGTGAGACCATGAAAAAGACCTCCAGCTCACTATTTCCACTGATCAGTCACATATCCAGCATATCTTACTGAATTCCTACTAAATCAATTAACTACTACTTGAAGAATCTACTTGATAGCCTCTAGAAATACTCAAAGGAGTATGAAATTGTCCCTACGGTCCAAGATGTTTCTGCTCTCCTTTGAAATAGTGCCTTATTGGGCCCAGCGGCATGGCCTAGCGGCTAAAGTCCTCGCCTTGAACGCGCCAGGATCTCATATGGGTGCTTGTTCTAATCCCGGCAGCTCCACTTCCCATCCAGCTCTCTGCTCGTGGCCTGGGAAGGCAGTCAAGGATGCCCAATGCTTTGGGACCCTGCAACCGTGTGGGAGACCTGGAAGAAGTTCCTGGCTCCTGGCTTCAGACTGGCACAGCACCGGCCGTTGAGCTCACTTGGGGAGTGAATCATCGGACGGAAGATCTTCCTCTCTATCTCTCCTCCTCTCTGTATATCTAACTTTGTAATAAAAATGAATAAATCTTAAAAAAAAAGAAATGTCGCCTTATTGCATGTCCAAAGCTAGACTACTTATCATCATCAGAATTCACCACATCCCACTTAGCCTATGAAAATCTTACTACATTCAGCTACAACTTCAGGGAAACAATGATCTCTTTATCATAATTAAGTGCTCATTTGCTATGTTCTCATAGCACTTTGTTCATATTTCCAACAATATGATTTCAACATATTTTGTGTTATAATTAGATGTTTTAACAGATTGTACCAGAGGATAGGAAATGTATTTTGTTCATTTTTGTATGTATCTCCTGGTAACACATGGTTGATGATGAGCATATGTTTGGTGAATGAATGAGCTGGAGCATAGATGGGGAAATGATGAATAGAGAAGCAGCAAGAAAAGTCATGTTCGTTTCCATTGAGGGCTTAACACAAACCAGCTGAGAAACCTTAGGAAGGTCTTTGAATCTTCTAAAAGTCAGTTACTTTTCCGACTATAAAGCAACAAAGAAGAACTGTTGCTTGACTATAAAATTTTATATTAACAATTATAGCTACAGTAATGTAACTTGGAGGCTTGAAGAAATGAAACAAATGAAGATCTTCCCATAGTAAGATCCTTTATCAACTTGTAGGTTGTTTGGTTTCTACAAACTGAAGACATTAAAAACCGGATTAGATTAACATAAAGGTCATATAGATGCTTAATTGATGCTGTAGTCACCAGCTTTAGTTTCACGGAGTGCTTAGGAGAGTTCTAAGGTCATTTTTGTTCTAGTCTCTCACTGTTTTTCTCCATCTTTTAAGATTTAAAAAATATATTTGAAAGACAGAGTTAGAAAGATACAGAGCTAGAAAGAGAGAGAAAGCAAGAGCAAGAGAGAGAGAGAGAGAGCATGCTATCCACTGGTTTATTCCCTAATTAGCCACAATAGCTGAAGCTGGTCCAGGCTGAAGCAAGGAGCCCAGAATTCCATCTGGGTCTCACTCTGCTGCTTGGGCTAGCTTCTGTTGCCATCCCAGAT